GCTTGGGTTGTTACCGACATCTGGTGAAAATTTCATGTCATTAGCACCTCTAGTAATATATTTACTGAGAAAAAAGGTGACGTGTTCAATACTTATTTTACCCGCTGTATGTCATATGCCGATATTTTAACAGTGCAGCCACGCAACATCAAAGTCAATTTCAAGAACTTGTGGCGACACATCCTGTTTTGGTAACTGGATATTTCAAAATAAATGTCTGATTTAATGCATTTCATATACAAATCAAACTTTTGTGTGGGAACGCAAAACAATATTGTGAGGTAACGCAAAAGTATTGCTTGGGAATGCAAAAGAAAAAAATCCCCCCCCATGTCCCCTCGCGGACTCCGTACTTTTTGATGTTTTCACACAGCAGGGCAAAAGTAAAGGGACCAACGGCAGCTTTACCACAAAAGCAGCTCATACCAGATGGGTCACATATTTGAGACTGCCTCCAAGTGGCAGGAACATGATATGGCTTGTAGAAGTGCATTCTGTTGCAAAAAATGATCAAGGCCTGAAAAAAGCAGCTAAAACATCAAGTGTCCAGGTGTCTAACGTATTATCTCAGATGTAAATTTAATAAGTGGGATAACTTTATTTTAAATGATGTGTCCTTTTACTTAAAGACAACTCGTGAACAAATCACTCAGCCAAAACTGAGTTAAGATTAATAAATAACTTTACATGTTGTGTTATATTTTGACTTTTCTTATGTTTCACATCAGGTGCTGGCCTTGCTGTTTGATTCCTTTCTGTGTGAAGAGCTGCAAAGATGTAGAGCACTCATGCCCTACCTGTAACCAAGTCCTGCACATCTATAAACGCAGGTGAAACCTCAGTCATTCGGTTAAATGTGTGCAATGCACATCACACCTGCATCCCTGTGGACTGTTTATGTTGTGTAAAAGCTACATGTAAAATTTATTTAACTCTTAGATCCAATCATCAACATGTAATATAAAGTTATGTCGTTTAAAGGTACTCATTGCAATGTCATAGAGACAGGTTAGAAAATCATTCAAACAAAATCCACCCAATTGTTTTCTCACATTGATGGTTAATGAAGGAAAAAAATTTGACAGCTGCCAACGTGTTTATCTACGTTTGTTTATTTATGGAAATAGAGTGACTGAAAAATATGGAACAATGATGACATCAGTGGAAGAGCTGTTTGGGGTCAAGATGTACGACAATTTCAAATTATTGATACATATTTACACCCAGACTTGTTATATTTATATTGAGTGCAGACCCATGTTTCAAATTTGCATACCAGTATATCTGAGCAACCTTTGAAGTAAACTCCTTCAAACTGCGCTATTTGATAGTTTTGAATAAAAAAATGCTTAACTTCATAGCTTTCAATGAGTACCTTTTKATCTATGTGAACTTGTTTTTCTGTTATAAGCCAATATTACAGCCATAATTATGTTTCTGTGTTGTGTTCAGTTTGTTCTATTGTTAAAAGAATGTTTACCAGTAAAGCAAACATTTTTCTTGTGAAAATAGAGTCTTGTGCTAATGAAATGTTATTGGTTTTAAATTAAAAAACTTATTGCCACTATTAACGCAAATTTTATGCAGAATAAAATATGTTAGCATAAGCAAATAAAACATGTTTGGACTACAGTTAACATGTTCCAAAATAAAATGCATAAAATAATTTGTTTACAACGCTGTAAAATGTATTTTTAATAGATTATTACAAACATGTCATAATCATGTGACGTTACTCTCGTGTTCTGATTTTTAATATTTGATTGACTTTTATTAAAAGCCCCTTCTAAAAGAAACAAATAAGTGCTTGTGTCAAAAAATTATTGTGTGACTTGTGACGACTTTTTTCTTCAGTATTTTTCAGCACATATTTCCTTTCCGTACTTTTTGTGCTATTTGTACAAATTACATATCAAAATGCTCAGCTCCTTCAGGGCATTCTTGTTATGACTTTTTGTATTTCGTCATTTTTTTTTTTTGAGATGTTTAATTTTTTTTCCTGACATTTTTTTTCTTTCAGAAAATTAATGGAGCTCTCAACATCCTTAAAACCATTCAAAATGTTCACAACCTTTTCTGTACCTTTTACCTTTGACTCTGGTTCAGCTTTGTTCAAACTGTGTTAATCATACCTTCAACTTCTATTTTGCTGATTTAATCTTATTTTAAACTTTTTTACTTATCATTCTGACCTTTTCTGTTATTCCTTTGCTAATTTAAACTTTTTGTGCTTCATTCTGCTATTTTAAGCTTTTAGCTGCTTTCTGATAATATCAGCAGTCTTGTTTTTAGCTAAATTCAATATATTTATGTTTTCAGCTTCTTACTGCTTAATGCAAACATGTTCTCTTTCTTTGTTCTAATTTCAGCTKCTTTTAATAGTCATTTTAAGATAGTTTCAGCTTTTTTAGCTATTCAGCAAAAAAAATCTTTCAGCATTAAGCATTCACTTTAATGGAGCAACAACAGAGCAGAAGTCGATCAAGGAAATCTGTCAGTTGTGGCTGCTGTGTCAGTGCAGAGCAGCCGATAATATAACACTCTGTAACACGTTTACAACCAATCACAGTTCAACAACTGTAACCACCTAACCAATGACAGAGCTATCAGCTCAGGAACTACCTCATCAAAATAAGAGAGGTCATGCATTGCTGGAGTCTTTAAGTCTAGGGCAAACAGATTGAAACAGACGAACTTGTAATGTTTTGGCTGTTCCATCTGRTCTCCTGTCACACACACTCAGCTCTCCTGTTCATGCCACGCCTCCTCATTCAGTGCCACAGCAATCAGCCTCATCTGCCTCACCTGTTCTCCCTCCTATTTAAGCTCCATGCCTCCACTCTGCCATTGCCTCATTATTGAATGGTTTTACCAKGTYGATGTCRAGCYTTTTGTCACAGCCCCAYCCTGATCTTCTGTCCATGACCCTGTGCCTGCCTCTTGACTTCCCCTTTTTGCCTGATCCCTACCTGGTACTGTTTATGATTCTGACCCTTGGATTAAGACCCCGTTTTTGCCCCTTAGACCTCGCCTTTTGGATTATGATTTGGATTTGTTACTGGACCTCTGACCTCCCGGCTCTGACCGCGGACCACTCCCTGGATTTCCAAACCCAGCTCGCTCCCTCACTGGGTACTGAACCCTCACGGACCAACAACATCAGTGGACTTACCCAGTCCCCTTTGTCCACCGTTGGAAGTGTTTGCCGCCTCGAGGGTCCAGAAGGTCTTCACAAAACCCAATCCTAAAACTCTTTAAACCTGTTTTTGTTTACATTTGTTCTGAGTCCAAACAACAGTCTTGTCAGAACTAGTTATCAAATGAGATAAAATTACTAACAGTGTCAAGGTAAAGCAGATAGTTATATAATTATTCCATAACAATCCCTCCTCTTGAGTAAACACTACTCAATTCAAATCAAAAGGAATAATTATAAAACGTCTAAACACAAATGCAAAAATTAACAAAAAATACAACGCAAAATGAGGAAAAATAGTGCAATTTATGTGACGACCAAAAACATATATCAATGCAAGATACAACAGGAAAAAGTCATAAATGATAAATGAAACATTTTTACACTTCTGAAGAATCAATGAAGAAAAAAAACGTGTCAAAATTTAAAAAACTTAAAAGCCCAAAATTCAACAAGGTATCACAACACAAGTTCTGCCTCCCAGTGAATTAGTTGACATGTACCACTTATGTGCCATCAGAATCTTATCTTGGATAAAGTGTTAACTTAATAACAACAAGATGTCAATAAATTAACCTTAAGTAATGCAAATTAGGACTAGGCAAATCAAAGAAGATGCTGAAGACATTTACTTCTGAAATAATAGATTAGACAAGCTAAACAGCAAATGATATATGGAGGTCATAAAACTTTGAGGAACCTTATGCTGTGCTCACACTAAAGGCGATTTCAGCTTCAAAATCGCGTTCAACACTTCAAGTTGGTTGCTTGACCACTTTGAGGTCAGAGGCTTTTGAGGTGTAAAAACCACGTCTTCTAGTTCTGRGGAACTGCTGCTGCTCAATGAAGAGAGGAACTCTGAAACAGGCTGGTTGAACAGCAAGAATCTTTATTTTGCAGTCCAGGAGATTACAGCCAAAAACCAAATTAT